CAGCACCTAGTCAGTCCTGATGCCTTATTAGTCATGATTAATGCAGGTGGGTGAGCTTGGAAGGCAGCAAGTGCTAAATCCAAAGTGGATTCCAGCTTGTCTTCAGCACATTTGTAACTTCCCACCTGCTCTCCTCAGCTGCTGACAAGCTCCTGCACAAAGGGGAGAAGGCCCAAGACACAATAAAAACATCATGGCAGTACCTGTTTTCCTGAGACCCACAATGCCAGTGCTGGTGTTGCAACCAGACAACAGCAACCTGTTTCTAACCTCTAGGACATTTCTGCAAGATCAGAGTTGGAGAGTTAAACCCTGTGCTTCCCCCAGCCCCCCAACTTTTGGAATGGCAGTGTTGGGATTTCCCTCTCTCTGTCAGAGCTGTGCCTGGTCACCCAATCCCAAAACTAAGCTTCTGATACCGACAACTTCATAAGGCTGTTGCAGGACTGCTTGAATTACAAACTGGTTTATCAGGGAAGGCTCCTTCCTGGGTTGCTGACTGCAGAGGACTCACCCTCCCATGACTGCACTGGGCTGACACTGCCCTTAAATGTGCTCTTACCTACCCCAGCTCTCATGGAAGGAACCAGCCACCCCAGGTACGACCCCAGACGTCCTCTCTGACACGCTGCACAAAGCCCACAGGCCAGGCCAGGCCATGTGAGTCTCTGGGCTACACACCTCCTTACACACTTAAATCCACTAACACCTGCTTTTCCTCCCTGATTACATCTCAGGACACGGTACACGCTGTCCCAGCAGAAGCTGTGCTGCTGAAAGCACCAAAACACCTGGGAGACCTCGACATTTACCAAATAACTCCCTTGGGACTCTAAACAAATTTGCCTTGAGGGCTTGTACCCTCAGAAAACCAGACTGCAGGAACGCAGAGGATCCCACATCCCACCCAGCAGTGCAGAGCACAGGGTACATGTGCTGCCTCACACGGAACACAGGAAAAGCAACGGGGAAAAAAATAAAAATCACATGGCCCATTCCAAGAGGAGAAACAGTGTAATTCCTAATCCAAATGTCACTGGTCAGCTGATTAGCAGCTGGCCCTCAGCTGAAGCTAGAAAGCAAAAACTCTCAAAATGCACTTCAAAGCGACGTGTTGAACCCAACCACACTGGAATCGGGCTGAGGGCCACGAAAATCTGCACAACTTACCTCAGATGGGGTTTCTTTTAAAGTGTGATTATTTCAGAAGAAGGTCAGGTGTAATTTTAGTGACTTCAGGTCACAGCAGTGCAGGGGGAGGAAGCCCTAAGGGTAGAGCCCCCTGCAAACAGCCCAACCACACAATTAGGCAGCCCAGGGGACCCCCCTCCCCACCAGGCACAGGTTGGGCACTCACAGCCTTTGCTGGCCTGCAGCTCTGCCAAGGGAAGTCAGGATGAAACATTCCCACCATGTCCTTCTTTTCAATACAGAGGAAAAAACACAGCTGGCAAATGTAAGCTGACTTTGCACTGGTTTATAATGTCTGCCATTAAAAGCTTTGAAATCTACACTAGCAGGCAGCACACGGGCATGAATGTGAAAAGCTTCAGTGAGATATTTGACAATCATTAAACCTGAATCTCCTACTTACTCACTTTCAAGAGAAAAGACCTTCAGAAAAGATACTACTAATTTTAAAAGTGACTTTTCACAGACGTGAAAAAACTCAGCCTGCACCTTTTGCTAGAAGCAGAGCAAGACAACCAAAATCCTGCTCATACATGTGCCCCAACAGCACTTACACACCTTGGGTCAGCTCAGCACTCTCTTACAATACTGTGAGTACACAGAGTCACACAAAACACAGCCTCCCCTCAAAAATGGGACACTGGGGCAATCCCCACCTTGCTTTAGCTCAGGAGTACCCATGGCTTGTGGTACTTGCCACACATGCACATCCCTCAAACTCCTTAGCAAATTCCTGATTTATGGCAACATCCCTCTCAATGTTTCTTTGATCCTTCTCAGACAGACACTGACCTCCTTACAACTCCAGTGTGGGGTTTGGGGGTGGGTTTTTGTTGTTTTGGTTTTTTTCTCCCTACACACAGGCGGAAACAAAGAGTAGCATCTGATTTGACCGCACTGTTTTGGTTTCTTTTCATAACAAAACAGCAAGACAGCAGCCCGACTCACCCACACACTCCAGCAGCTCCTGGGTATTCACCTCAGCTCAGTGAACACCCCAAAACCAGTAACAACACCCCTCACTGTGTGGCTTTAACCCTGCCCCCGCAGACCCCAAGGCCAGCAGCACTGACCTCCCACAGCAGTTAATCCCTGTGCAAACTTTGAGGGGAATTTTAAGAGATTATTCGTGCTAATATAGAGCAAGACAGCTACAAAGACTCAACTGGGAGTCACCTATTGCAACACACTGTAAAAAAACCCACTGATTCATGGGTACCTCAACACCACAGCCAATCACTCAAATTCCTTCTGTGTTATTCCCATCTACTTCCTTCCCCAAGGAAGGAATGATCCTCCCTGCTCAGGAAAGCAGTAACCAGACACAACTATTTTTCAGGGGTGGGGGTGCACTCACAGCAGATATTCTGGGGAATCTATGCAGAGCCAACGAGCACGTGGAGCCATTTGCCACCTGGCACAGGCTGGTGCTGCATCCAGGCCTCCACCCCAGGCAGGGCACACCCCTGGCAGCAGGGTTGCTCAGCAGAATTCAGGGTGACCAGGCACAGCTCTGACAGAGAGAGGGAAATCCCAACATTGCCATTCCAAAAGTTCTGGTTCAACCAGTTCCTCAGTCATGCAACTCAAGTCTCCCCCACGCCATCCACCATCATCTCAGAGATTCCTTCTTCGAAGCCACTTTGCACCTCGTTTATTTTCTAGGCTTCACATGCACCAAAACACAGACCTCCCATCTGCCTCCTAAAGCAACCGGGACTAGAGGTGTTCCTTCCCAGACAGGATACTACTCCTGCAAAGTGCTTCCCAGGGGACTTTTCCTTTTAGCAGAAATAGCCAAGAGCTCACAAGTTGCCTTTTCAAAACTGCTGAAGCACCACTGCAGATACAAAGAGGTTTTCCAGCCGCGGATTCAGACGTCAGGAGTGCAGGGACCAGGCCGCCCTCGAGCTCCCCAGGCCTCCAGCTGAGTCAGGGAGAAAATGCTGTTCACCAGCTCTCAGGCACACGTATGCAGAACTGCAGTACTTCTGCCCCACGCTGCCTCCCCAGATGACCTCCCTTTCCTACAGAGGAAATGGCATTTTCACCTCTCTGTTCCCATCAAAAGGTGACAAGCTGCAAACCCACAAAGCCACCTTGCTCTTGTCCCCTTGGAGGCTTCACTCAGCAGGCAGAAGGATTTCAGACTGCCCACAGCAGTCTAAATGTGAGGACAACACCTGTGTAGCCCATTTCACCACAAAAACTTCCTCTGCCTCACAGGAACAGATCTCAGCACCTGTATTACAGGCCTTGCTCAGCCTGTGTGGATCCAGGAGCTGCAGCCAAGCCTAGGCCGTGCTCCATCCCAGAGGCCAGCCAAGAAACCAGGAGTGGCAGGGAAAAGCCCCCCCAGGGAGCAGCTCCTCCAGGACAGCGAGGAGGGAGGGGAGGAACCTCTTCCAGGCAATCTGTGCTTCCACCTCCACCTCTGCCGAGCAGGAGGGCCCGGTGACACACAGGCTCCGCTCCCCGGTGCTGTCAGCACGGGGCAGAACCTGCCAGCAGATTACTCATCAGCACAAACAGCCTCTGCCTTCCTATGTTACAAGGATGAGGCCACCCCTCATTAAAAAAAAGACTCTGACAGCTCCTCAGGCTTAGCTCGTGTAGTTCCTGAGCTTCCAGGACCAAAAGGGCCTTGGAAATACCAGCCGAGGCGAACCTACAATGCAAATTTCAGGAAAAAAAAATAAAATCACTATAGTTACTAGTTAAAAGCCTGGTTTCAGTGCTCCTCTCAGCAGAACGCATCAGAAATCACGCCTGAAAGATGGTCACAGACCTATTTTTTTGCACGCTGTGGTGACTTCTTACAAGCCTGAACACTGGCAGCGTACACAGAGTCCCTTTTCCATTTTAGGGCTCTTTCTGTAGAAGCCAACACAGGTCCTCCCACTCAGCTCTCTCACAGCAGCTCCCCTCTCCTTCGCAATCACCAGATCAAAACAAAACACTGTTTTGACTGAAATGGCCCAGGATGCTGCAGGAGGGACCAGGAGCAGGGCTAAGGAGGCCAACATCTCTCTGAAGGTCGAGGCTAAGGTTACCAGCCAGAGCCAGCCAGGAGGCTCCTCACAGCTCCAACAAATGAAATGTAAAATGATAGTTGAAGCAGCAGAGCTGGTTACAATTAAACAAATGCCACCAGCAGCTTTGCTGCACTGCAAGGGCTGCACACGTCATGAGTTCTGTAATCCCCACGGCTCATTTTTAGTTCTTCCACTGTTTTATTTGGGGGGAAAAATACAGCAATTGGGATCAGCACTTCCCCTTGCAGAAACCCCCACGCACAGAAATCCCTCATCCCAGGTCACAGCCTACCTATGTGCATGACAGAGCTATCAGGAATTGACTCCAGCCTATAATCCTCCCTGCTTAAGGTAGGAGAGGAGGCAACAACTGAAAAAAGTTAAAGAGTGAAGGCCACTGCTTTCATTATTTACAGCACCTTGTTCTGCACCAAAGCATTTGATGGTTTTGGGGTCTGCTTGGGTTTTTTAGCTCCCACTTCAGGAGAGGTGGGAAACGATTAACTTTGAAATCCCCTCGATTTCTAAAGCATTAAAAAAAAACCAAATCTAGCAAACTCGCACTGTATTTACACATGAGAAGACCAGAAACGTCAGCTCGGAGATGCCACTGGACTGCAATTCCACCAAGGACAATGAAATATTCGGGGACCCGGGAACCGAGGGGGAGGCGGGGTGGCCGGGAGAGGCCAAGGCCTCCCTTCCCAGCCTGGGGAGGCAAAGGGGCAGGGAAGAGCAGCGCAGGCAGAGCGCTCCGAGAGGCGCCCGGCTCACCTTCCGCCAGCACCTCGTCCACCGTGACCTGGTGCCGGCCGATGCTGAAGACCCGGCCGATGTAGCCGCTGCCCGGGCCGCTGCTGCCGCCGCCGCCGCCGCTGGTGCCCGACCCGGGCCCGGAGCCGCCCTGCTCCCGGCGCGAGTCGAAGAACTTCTTCATGTCTCAGAGGCGGCGGCTCCGGCGCTGGGGGCGATGCCGGTGTCAGAGCCGAGCCCCTCCCGGCTCTGCTGAGGGGCCCCGGGGCCGCTCTCCTGGTGGGGCCGCGCCGCGCTGTCCTCGGGGGACTCACACCTGCAAAAGCACAGCGGGTGACGGGGGGCGGCGACACCCCCGCGGGGACCCCCGACCCGCGGGGAGCCGCGACCCGCAGCGCCCGTGCCCGGTACCTCGCAGCGGGCGGCGGGAGCCTCCATGCGCCCCGCGGGGCCGGCGTGCGCAGCCCCACCGGCTGGCTCACGGCGGGGGCCGGCTGCCGGCAGGGCCCGGGGCCCGCATCGCTGCCTGGCGGCGTCACCGACGGCCACCGAGCCCGTCAGGGAGCGGGACGCGGGCAGGGACCGACCCCGCCGCCGCCGCCCCCCGCCGGCCCCATCCGACCACGAAACGGGCCGTCACAGGAAGTCCCGGCTGCCGGCGGGAGCGCCGCCCCCGCGCCTCCGCCAGCCGCAGGGCCGAGCCCCGCCGCCGCGGGCTGTGCCGCTGCCCGAGGGTGTCCCGTCCCGGGGTGCCCCGTCCCGGGATGTCCCGCCCGGCCCGGCCGCAGCCCCCCAGCGCGGGGCACCCCCGCCCCACAGCGCGGCGCGGGGGGAGCGGGGGCTCGGCGGGATGGCGGCCCTGCGCAAGGCACGCTGGGAGCGGTAGTTCTCCGGCGCCGGCGGTGGTGGCGCTCTAAGGGCAGCGCGGACTACAGCTCCCGGCGTGCCCCGCGGCTCCGCGGCCGGCAGGGGGCGCTGTGTGGCGGGGCCGTGGCGGAGCCCCCGGGCCGGGGTCGCCCCTCAGAGCGGCCGGGCCGGGCCCGGCCCCAGGGACAGCGGAGGGGCCCCACGGGACGGGTGTCCCCCTCGCCGCGAGGGACGGGTGCAGGAGTCCTGTCCGTGAGCATCCACGGCCCGCGCTGGCGCTTTGCCTGGTGGCGGCTGTTTTATGTTTGGTTTTGAAATAATGTGCTAAACTCGGTGGTTTTGTGATATAATAATAGAAGGCCATTGCTGTGACATCTTGGTTTTTGACCTGAAGCACGAGGCTTATCCTCGCACAGGCCCTGCTGCCTCGTTTGAGATCCCCGAAAACTCTATAAAAGAGAGGTTTTCCAAGCTCTCAAAACGTGTTTAGTGTTTTAAACCTGGCAGGTGGTTTTGCAAAGCCTGCGCCTTGGACTGACTGTTAAATGACATGTCCTCCCCACCCCAGTACCTCCCACAGCTCATCCACAGAGCCCAAAGCCCCTGGGTTAAGCTTTGGAGAGGTATAGATTAGCTCAAATCTTGTGAAATGTCCTTTAAATTTAACCACTTTGGGGTTTTTTTAGCCTTTTTCCTTCAGAACCCATGAGATTTTCCCAGCCCATGACATCCACAGCAGCTGACTCCTCTCCACCAGCATCAGAGATGGCCAAAGCTGGGATTTGAAACAAAAGAGGGAAACATTGAAATGGCAAAAATTGGTTTTCCCAGAAGGAGGACCCAGATTTAACAAAGCCCGAGGAGCTTGTGGCTCCAGAGGAATTCCTCCATGACGCACCTCTCTCCTTCCTCCCTCCGGCTGGGACACAGGAGGAAACAAAAGCACGCTCCCATTTTCCAGGTGACTATTATTTCCTGTATTATGGCAATAACTACAGCCATCCTGCTGACAGCCCCTGTCCCCAGGCCAGGCCTGCTTACTGTGGGATGACAAAAATGTTTCCACACACACGGCCCTTTTTCTTCATCCTGCCTCTCTTTTGGGCACAGGCTTCCAGCAATGCCAACGAGATTGGATCAGCATGTTGTAAATGGATCTAATTGGTTTTGTCCCCTGGTGTTTGATGACTTTTAAGATGGGTATGGCTCTCAGAACAGGCAAGTAGAATTTGTTACCACAGGCTGGGGGTGCTGTTTAGCACCTGGATCTAACAGCAGGTCACTGTACAGTTGTTTCTCTGCTGAGCCACTGAGCCTCTTCACTGTGGGTAAGTGCTACACCTCTTCATCATCCTTGTCCTCAGCAGCTCTGGTAGGTAAGGGCCCACCAGCCCACCCTGCAGACCTCAGAGTCCTCCTTGACCACCTTTAGCCACCCATAACTCGTAGGGTGCTTCAGAGTGGCTCCTGGCTGCACCTCATTTCCAAGTGTCGTGTACAAGACACCCCAAATGCACAGAGCTGGAACTGCAGTCATTTCAGCCAGGCAGCCAACACATGTGTGAAAACAGTCCTTTTTCATCTGACAGGCTTTAATCTTCATCAAACCTGCTTGTGGTTTGGGGCTCTGTGATGGATTTCCAGTGGTCAATACAGAGGGTTCACTTGCCCTTCAGAATAAATATGAACTGGGTGAAGTCTTGGCTGCTTCTATCCATGTTTTTTTATTATTTTTTTAATCCCTCTACCCTGTGAAAGATCCCCAGGCATCTCTCAAGACTGAGCTAAAACACCCAGTGCAAAAAACTGAGTCCCATCATCGGGGATTTCTGGGGACTCTGCAGAACTGAACAATTTCCAAGGAAATTGGGCATCTCTGTACAGTACAGGGAAATGAGTCATTTCCAACCGAAGCAGATAAAAGCCTCTGCGTGCAGAGAGCTGCAGATGCAGTGCTAAGCCTCCTCCCTGGCTCTGAGAGGCTTTTTTTAACTGTACCTGCGGTGCAATGCAGTGTCAGCCCCACGCACGGCTGGGGCTCTGGGGCTCTGGGGCTCAGCCCACAGCCCCCAGTCCCACCCGGGACCACTGTGGGGAGCAGGAGCACGGCAGGAGCCCATCCCCGGCTGCAGATGCTGAGGAGATTCGTTATTCCAGAAGGCACGAGGCTTGGCTGCGCTGCTGGAATCCCAGTGACCTTCACAGGGATCAGAGGGAACTGAGCCTGAAAGCTCTTAGTGAAAAAGCTGATCAGGGGCTGCCAGCACAGACATGGCCTGTGCTCCTCCCATGTGAGCCTGGAACAACTCGAGAGTGCTCCCAGAATTGTCCCACTGCAGAGAGGAGCCTCATTCTGACTAACACAGTCCATTCTAAACACCAAACTTCAGCTGCTAAAATCCCTTGACACGAGGTTTAAAATACCCAAGCCCCAGTGGTGTGGTCAGCAGAACTGCTTCCCTGCACATTGTCTCCCTGATCCCTGCTTCTCCTGCGCTGCACAGAAAATGCATTCAAATCCCAGGAAGAAGTACATTAATACAGCTGCATCCCTCTTCATCAAACTTTCCAGACAGCTCAGCGTTTTCTAAATAAAAACACGCGCTTGGAAAGGTTTCCTGCAGCCCCCGAAAGGCGAGGGCAACACTGGCCTCTTCTGGAGAGCTCGAGAAGCGGCAGCGAGGTAGAAAAGAGCTGGCACAGCTTCCTGTGCTTGGTGACACTTAACTGTCCAGGGGAAACAAAGTAATGGTCACATTTTCCTGAATTCAGCGCATAATAATTAAGCCTTATCACCCGGTTATTTTTACCGTGATAAGGACGTTGGGAGAGCGACTTTTCACACGGGCAGCCAGTGATAGGACAAGGGATATCAGTCTTAAACTGAAAGAGGGGAGATTTAGGTTAGATATTTAAGAAGAGATTCTTCCCTGGGAGGGTGGGGAGGGCCTGGCACAGGTTGCCCAGAGAAGCTGTGGCTGCCCCATCCCTGGAAGTGTCCAAGGCCAGGTTGGACAGGGCTTGGAGCAACCTGGGCTAGTGGAAGGTGTCCCTGCCCATGGCAGCGGGTGGGACTGGAGGGGCTTTAAGGTCCCTTCCAGCCAAAACCATTCAATGAGTCTGTGATTCTCTGTCCCCTTAAACACACACATTTACTGCAAAGAAATCTGTTGAGCTTCTCACCAGCTAAAGAGCAGAGCCACTGTTCTATCCATCTCTCTTTCTTCCCATGATTTTCTGGAATCCAAGCATTTCTTTCCAAGTCCAAGTGACCCCTAAACACTACCAGTATGACCAGAAAAACCACTCTTCTTCATCACTCTCAAGGAAAGGTCAGTTCTCAAGCATGCTGTCACAGAGATAGGAATTTGGCTGGGTTCAGATTTGTGCAGAGGAACAAAAAGACTCCAAAACTCACAGCTGTATTTTCCTGTGTAAAAAATGGAAGTTTCCTCCTCTTTGGTGCTCCTGTTTGCCCTTGTGGGAGATACTCGATGGTTCCAGCAATGGGTGCACTTCCTGCAGCTAGAAGCCAACACCTTCCATCCGATGGTAATGGCAGTGCTGGCCTGTAAATGAATATAGAGTAGGCACACATGGAAATAATGGAGCTGACTGAGCCCTGCAGGCTCGTGCCTGTCAGATGCAACAGCCTGGATTGACATCCATAGGATGGACCACTGGGTCACAAAGAGCCTTGTTTCCCAAGGAGCATCCCTTTGCACCACAACTCCACACTCCTCTTGAAAGCAGCTGTTGTTATGCTAAGGGAAACGTGCAGGTTGGCTCTCCCTGAGAAGGGATTTATCAGCTGTGTTTCAAGTGTCTGGGTCCTGAGTGGCCCCTCAGGCTCCCCTTGCCCCAGGCAGCCTCACCTGGCTCTGCTCACACCCTTTGCCCACCGACCATTGTTTAAATGCAGGGCCAGGGGAGCCCCTTTTTTTTTTAGGGAACTGCAGGGTAGGCCTGGCTGTTGCTCTGAGATTAGCTCAGCTGGTTGGAGCTAATAATGCCAAGGCTGGGGGTTTGATCCCTGTATGGGAAGTGAATGCACTTAAGAGTTGGACTCGATGATCCTGTGGGTTCCTTCCAGCTCAGAGTGTTCTGTGAATTTTGACTTTGCTGGGTGAGCCCTGGTGCCCTGTTGTAAGTCCCCCTGGTTTCTCAGTGTGTCTGCCTTGGTTTTCTGGGTAGGCTCTGGCCTTGCTGCCTGGCTTTGCCTCCTGATCCCTGCGTGGATGATGAGGCTGGTTGCTGCCCTGACTATGGGAGAACTAAGTCCTATGTACGAGCTTAACTGGTAGCATCCTGTGCTCCTGGTTTGTGTGCTCCTGTGCAGCAGCCCTGCTCGTGTTGCTTTTTAGCACTAGATCCATCATGTTAAGATCATAGAATCCCAGAATGGTTTGGATTGGAAGGGACCTTAAATATGATCTAATTCCAACCCCCCCCATGGGCAGGGACACCTTCCCCTAGACCAGGTTGCTCCAAGCCCTGTGCTTAACATTTTTTTCCTTGCTCCAAGCACTGCATCAGCCAGTGTTTCTGTCCCTTTTACCTGAAGGAATGACTGTGTGTGTGCCTTAGAAGCCACCCTGAGCTGGGCAGTCAGAGCTGTTTCCATCCCCTGGAACTGGGTTACAGCCACGTTGCAGAGCAGTAAGATAGAACTACACAGAGGCAGATATTAATTAAGAAGAAAAAAGTGAAAGCTACTTGTTTCCTCTTCAGAACTATATGTATGCTAATTAAAGTAAACATTCATTAAGCCCATTAAATGAAATTTTGGGTTGATAATGCATTTAAGGCTGCAGGAAGCAGTGGTGTAGCAGTTCATAGCCTGCAGCTTTGGGGAAGGGGGGGGTCACGTTGGACCACAAATAATATCCAGCCTCCACAGGGCACTGGGAGTTTCCCTGACTGATCATCTCCAGGGAGCTGGCAAATGCCCTGAGGCCTGGGCCTTAAATGATATCAGTTAGTCTTGGTAGAGAGGATGTTGAACATACATTACAGTTTGTACAAAGAATTATAAGTGCAACTGCAGTGGTCTAGCCTGTCTCTTGTCCTTGATGTAATCAGGCTATACCACAACATGCAGTGTAATTCATAAAATCATGGAATGGGTTGGGTTGGGAGGAGCCTTAAAGCCCATCCAGTCCCACCCCCTGCCACAGGCAGGGACACCTTCCACTGCTCCAGGTTGCTCCAAGCCCTGTCCAGCCTGGCCTTGGACACTTCCAGGGATGGGGCAGCCACAGCTTCTCTGGGCAACCTGTGCCAGGGCCTCTCCACCCTCACAGCCAAGAATTTCTTCCCAGTATCCCATGTAACCCTGCCTGCTGTCAGTTTAAAGCCATTCCCCCTTGTCTTGTCGCTCCAGGCCCTTGTTCAAAGCCCTCCACAGCTCTCTTGGAGCCCCTTTAGGCCCTGGAAGGGGCTCTCTGGTCTCCACAGAACCTTCACTTTTCCAGGCTGAACAACTCCAGCTCAGCCTGTCTCCATAGGGGAGGCACTCCAGCCCTCCCAGTGAGTAATGGCAATGGCTTATCAGGCAGCCCTAGATCCTGTGGTGATTCCTGTGTGCCTTTTGCCACAGCCTGTGCCTCAGGCTCTGCTGGGGACCTTACAGCAGCCCTGATTTCCCCAGCTCACTTTGAACAGTGGAAGGTGGGACAACACAGGGATCAAAAGCAAAGGACAACTTCTATGACTGCAGGGGGCTTTTCTGAAGGTAAAAGTGTCACCCCACAAGCGCCTGATCATGCTCCTCACCCCACTCTGGAGGTGTTTGCTGACTGCCCTCCCCTTTGGATGGATGCACGGACACAGGCAGCCCACCACACAGTCAGATCGTGATGGCCCTGGGCTGTTTGCCTTCCCTGCTGTTTATAGCTTCAGGGCATGAAAGAAAACAGCAGACTGGGCTGGTGGCCACGTGCAGCCTGGAGTTCCTCTGTGGGAGGAAGGCAGAGCATGTGGGCACCTCCGCCAGTGTGAGCACAGTGTGTGCTGGGGGACAGCGTGGGGAGAGCGCCCAGAGCGGCAGCATCCGAGGTGCTGTGGGAGCTGGCAGTGTGAGGAACTGTGAGAGCAGCCAGGATCCCCTCCTGTGTGCTGCACAGCACCCCCAGATCACACCCCTGTCATTGAAGCACACCTGAAACAGGGAGTTTGACTCCTGGCTCTCTCACACGCTGCTCACTCCTCTCTCCCCTTACATTGTCCAAGGCTTGTGGGCCACCAAGTCCAAGTGGGCTCTTGTTTTACAGGCACTTTGGGTTACAGGGACTACCTCAAATCACTTCTGCTCCCCAGTCCCTTCCTGGCCTTGTGTGACATGTATGTTTATGTAATCTACCCAGAGAGCCCTTGACTGGCACAGCAGTGCTGGTAGGCTGTGCTAAGGGCTCTAAATCTGCCTGGATTGCTGAAGGGGGGAGTACTGCACATTCCTCTGGTAATACTGACTGTAAAAACAGTGTTTCTAATGGTAGTGGTGAGTAATGAAGAGCTAAGAACTTTCATTTCTTACATGAACGGGAATAGTTCAGTCTTCCCACCTCACATAAGCACTGCTTACCTACTTCTGTGAGTGTGTTTCATCTCCCTTCTCTCTTGTGTTAAAAGGGCTTTGCTCCAATCATAGAACAAAAGCTTCAGGCTGGCTCTTCCTAAGGTCTTCCCCCAAACACCTCTGCTTCTCCCTCTGACTTGTGGAAATGGACGTTTCACTTTACATGGTGCTGAACTGGAGACACCCTTGCTCTAAGGGTCAGAAGTGCCCCTGCACCTCTGCAGTGAGCCCTGACAGCTGGGATTCACTTTGAGGTTATTATGATATTCATACACAGAACACGAGAATTCTTTACCCTCTTACCACCACAGGAAAGTCAGTGCTTTAGAAAAGCAAGGCTGGTTTTCAGCCTCCACCCCACCCTCGGGTGCTGCTGCTATGGAGACAGCACTGCCTGAGCTGCAGCATCCAACACAGCTCCCACAGCACTTGTGCAACCCTTAAATAGCCCCATTGTAGGGGCTGCTGCTTGCAAACTGCTGGTGCTCCTGTATAAAAACGAGCACCTTCCTTATGAGCTCCTAAAAGTGCCTGCTTGATCCCCAAAGGCCCAAATTCTGGCCCCCACTTGATGAATGACTTCATTAGTGCCAAGATTTGGAGCTCAGTGAGTGGGTGAGGCTGTTCCTCTAAAGCTAAAGGCAGGTACTTGGTAATCATAGGACACACTGAAAATCTCTCCTTCCAGCACAAGGCTCCTCTGCTCTCTGAGGTGCAAATTTAAAGGCCAGGTCCTTTGGGCAAAAACAAATGCTGCCATTTTCAAGAGGCTCAGCTCTGTTGTCATTGTGGGACTTTGAATAAACACCCCCTTCCTGATGGGCTGCTGCTTGAGCTCTATTTACAAAATACACACTGCCCTGCCTTTCTGTGACCTTTAATTTTTATTAGGTGTTTTGTAGAGGGGAGAACAGCAGGATGGAGTGGGAACAGAGAGCAGGTGTGTAACCACATAGAGTCTGGGGCTTTAAGAGCTTTATTACAGAGGGGCAAACAGGAAATGTCCATGAACAGAAAAGCAACGTGCTCTGTCACTGCACTGAGAGGAACTGTGGGCTTGTCCTTTGCTGTCCCTCTTTCGATGCAAGGACAGCAAAGCTATGCCAGACAGTCTTCAGCTGGAGACGCTGAAGGATAACCACAGCTTCTCCATCCTTTCAGAGATGAAAACACATGGAAAGCTGAGCAGACTCCACACAAAGGGCTCCTGGAGAGACAAAGCTTTGTCACCTGAGCCTCGGGTAGGAAAATACAGCAACAACCCTTCGCCTTCCTGAAGGGAACAGCTCCTGTAGCAAGGTACAACAGGGTTCCCTAAATCCCTGTCCTTCCATCCACCTTCCAGAGAAGCTCAGCCAACTCTCAGCACGCTCAGAAGCTTTTGTACTTTTGTTTTCCTTTCTGGTCCAAATAATCGTGACTGTCTGAATCAGATGGCTCCAGAGCCAGCATCCACAACCAGCCAAGATTACAGGGAACTCAGCTGTGTGTTGCATCAGGATCAGGCTTCTGAATGGACTACACTTACATGACTGATTCTGGGTGGCCAAAAACATCCACACAAACACTATGTATCGGCAAGTATTCCTCCTCTCCCAGGGAGAAAGAAAAGGTTAAATTATGCAAATGATGAATGGCAGGATTGGTGCAATACTTAAAGGATAAATAACTTGCAAAGAAAATTAACAACTCATGGTCTTAAATAATTACTCTTGCACATACCAATGACTGCAGTGTCAGAGCCTTCCAGTCCTCGGGGCTGAAGAGGCTGGGAAGCAAACAGAAGGATGAAGCTTTTTAAAATACACAGGCTAAAAATATCCCAGGCAACATAAAATGGAGAAACACAGCAGTTCTGCTGGTGGATTAAAACAGGCCCAGAGCAGGGAATGCTGACGTGAGAGGAAGGGATGAGAATGGAAACTTTCGTAGACGTAGGAAAGAGAAGTTTCTCCTTAGCGACAGTTGGCAATATGTACCATCCCCCTGAATCCTGCTCAGGGGAAAGTGCCAGATTTTGCAAGGAAAGAGGCTCTGCAGTGGAAAAAGAGAGGGCTGGAGGTTTGAACCTGCTTTTGCTGTCACCCTGGTCCGTGTCCCCCTGGTGCTGGGCTCCACGGGGCAGTTCTGGGAGGCTGAGCTGTAATAAATAAACCACACAGCTGCATCCCAGCTGCTAAATTTAGGTCCCTTCCAGCAAAAGAGCATGTGCAAAGAGGCACGGGGGTGAGATAGAGCTGTCCTATGAGCTGGAAAAAAGAACCTGAGAGGGCTGATTTACTCATTTTAAAAATGGTACTTTTGGCATCAGAGGAGACCAAAATCCCTGAGGATAAACACTTGAAGACAAGCTATGTATTATTCAAGGCTGATTTCCCTGTCAGCCCCATGAGCATGGCCATGGCTGACCCTGTCAGGGTCACATCGGGGTAAGACTGAAGTCCCTTTGCCTGAAGGGTTTTGACTTGAGGGCAGTGCCACATATCAGGGCAAAATTAATAATCTTTATGCAGATAATCATTCTTACAGAAATCGTGGCCGTTTGTGACACAGAGCTCTTAGACAAGGGGGAATGATGCCGCAGACCCCGAGAGGTGCAGTGGGAGCAAAGGAGACACGACACGGGGAAGAAAAACAACACGGGGGAGGAACAGGAGTTCTTGTTCGAGGCTGCTCTGCCCGTGTGCTCCTCACCGTCGTCCCCCTCGCTCCCCCCTCGGCTGTGCCCTGCTCCAGACAGCACAGGATGAGGGATCAGAGGCTGCAGCCACAGCCCCTCTCTGTTCCCGAGATTTTTACGGGGAACGCCGGGGAGCGTGGAAGCCATTCCAGCCTGTCAGTCCTCCGAGTAACCCCAAAAGTGCAGTTCCTGCCTGGAGTGAGGCTCCCCGGAACCTCCCCTGCCCTGGTTTACAGCCCACTGCTCGGGAAGGGCAGTGAGGGCTGGATCGCCCTCCCGTCACTGCCGTGCGGGTCCCACCCCGCTCCAGGGCGGGGACTTTGCCAGCCAGGGCAGCCCCGGAGCTCTCCCGATCCGCGCCAGGGCACGGGCTGGGACAGCGGGTGAGTGCCAGCGAACCGGGGGTGTCCCCGGCCGGCGGGGCCGGGACGGTGCCCGCGCTGTGCCCGGAGCGCAGCGGCCGTGCCAGGGCACTGGGGCAGCCCCGGCGCTCGGCCCGGGCTCGGGACCGACGGGCAGGCGGGTCGTGGGGAGGGAGAAGGTTCCTGACCCTTCCCGGGCACGGGGAGCTCAGGGTTGGGTTCCTCCTCCTGCCATGCCCGGGCTGGCGCGTCCTCCCCGCGGGATGCTGGAGGGCGGGGGGCACGGCAGGGGTGGGCGACAGGCTAAATGAGAAGTACAAGGCCATAAACATTATCTTCTTGTTCGTTTTGCGGGCAGTGGCCAGCTAAAGGTCGTGGTTTGGGAGGCGCGGGGATGTTTCGGCTGGCTCGGGGCAGAAGGGAGATCCTCCCTGAGCTGCAGATGGGGCCGGGATCGGAGCCGGGAGCCCCGGAGCTGCTCGGGACACCCCTGGAGCACATCCAGCACATCGGCGGCAGTGCCGGGGCAGTGGAAAAGCCGAGCCGTGCAGGGTGTGGGTGGTGTTTGGGTGAACGTGCCCGGAACGGGAGAACTCGTCAGACGAGTCCAGCGTTGGCCTCCGCGGGAATGGGTGACAAAGCAGCGGCTTTCACTCCAGAGCCGAGGTGTGGGACTGGCAACACGCTGTGAGCTCAAACTGGGCAAAATACCCCGTGTTTATATCCTGTCGAGCTGTTGGGAGCTTTGCTTGCTGGTACCTGGGTGTGCTCTGAGCAGAGTCAGGAAAACCTGATTCAGAGCAAGCCTAGGCTTGATTTTGCAGAACACGGGATAGTCTCAGCAATTTTCTGATAAATTAAGTTTATTCTGGATTCAGCTTTTAGAGGATATTGATATGGACTTATAACTGCCTGCCAGGAAAAGATCATCCGTGGAAAAAAATTGAGTGATGGGATGGATGCTTGCACTCTGTCTTCTGGGCACAGTGTTTTGAGCCTGTTCTAAGCCAGGTTTACTGTGTCAGGCCTTTATTCTGGGGTGAAGCAAATAACATAAGGGCACCATAGGACTGGCTGGCTGCCCCTCTGCATGCATAGTTTAATTCTTCAAACCATGGAGTGAGGTGTTGCTCCTATCCTGAAGCTGGTTTTCCCTGATGGAGCTGCAGGCCAGGAACTGTGTTAAGCTGCTGAGCACTGGCAAATCTGCTGAGCAATTCCTTTCTCTCTCTGCTAACCAAGGGGTGACTTAGGAGGGCTTTATTCACCTAAAGCCCTGGCCTGAGCAGTGTGTGCAGACACCTTTGGCTCTGAAAGGGTCACAGGGGCAGGGGCCAGTGCTGGACTGCTGAACTCCCCCCCCGTAACTTCAGTGGCTCATTCACAGAAATACTTCCAGAACAAACCAGCATCTGCAGCTTGAGCAGTGGGGTTTGCAGTGCTGCCTTTTGCAGTGCTCTGCTCTTTAGACTCTCAGTGATGTTCACTGGATGAAGAAATAAGAATCTTGCAGTCAGTAGTCAATGTGATATTTCTGCTGGAAATGGATACTGTGAGAGCATTTGCCCCCAGTCCAGTCCATGCAGCCTCTCCTCGTGGTCTGTCTCCTTCCTGCCAGTTCACTTGCACTCAGAGTTTCTCTGCCTCCCACCCCCTTTCCCTTGTTTCTGACCTTTCTTTTGCCCTTTAATTGACTTGCTGAACCAGCCTGTCTGATGTTCCTGCTGCTGTGTGCAAAGCAGCTGGATGGTAGAACTGCATCATAAAAACATCAGTGAAACCTGAAGCCTGTATTTAGTATCTGGCAAAAGCAAATAAAATTGGCTTTTTGCTTCTGTGAAAGATTAGAGAAGAGCAAACATGACTTTTCTGAGGCCTAGGTCATAATCTGAACACTGAAATTTATGACCAGATGAAAGAAAGCAAACACAACATTAATAATTTCCATATGTTACCTGATTGCACAGGGTGTAGTGACGTAGAGATGACCTGGGGAACACTGGGGAGTGCCCCTGAGTAACATCCCTGGCGGGTGTCACCCTGTGAGTTAACCGGCCTGCACAGCACTGCCTGTGCATCCCAGATGTGCAGGAGTCATGTGGAGCATGAGCAAACACACTCCTGCTCTTGCACAACTGCCTGGGCTCATGGAGAGCAGCTACTGAGCACCACGAGGAGAGATGTCATCCACTGCTGGCACCTCTGCCTCTGCTCCAGGGCTTTAGTGTGAGACCTCACTCCATCCTGGAGTAAAACCACCCAGGGCTGGTGGGTGGCCTTTACTTGCTGTCCCTGTGTTTGCATCTCTTATTTTTTATTTAATTCCACTCCTCTGTGTGTATGTATTGCCTGCCTTTCCTAACTCCTCTCCTGTGATGCTGGGATAACTTGAGTTGCAGGGAGGTGAACCTTGTCCTGGTACTTGACATCCTGTCAGATGATCAGGGATATGGGAAAATAATTTGGGTGTGTTGATGTATGAGCTGTACACATGAAAATAAAATTATGAGCAGAAATAAGAACCATGGCCAGACAGCAATTAATCTTTGGTGGTTTTGAGGGCTTTGCCAGCTAAAACTGCAGCTCTACGAGGAAGAACACACTGCACCAAACTGAGGTGTTGAATACAAAGTGTTTCATTAAAATATAAAGAGGGGAAGTAATTCTCCTGCCCCAGTGCTCGAATGAGGTTATCCTTTGTTTGCTCATCTACACCACGACGTTGTCTCTGCCTCCCAGGCAGGATCCATGAAGGCTTTTAGGGCTGCATGGGCACCCTCACCCTCTTCACCGTCACCCTTCTTCACCCTCACCCTCTTCACCCTCAGGCTCTCACCCGCCAAGGTGAGACCCGTGTGTTTTGGAGGACACGGAATCCAGCCTGTTCTCTTTGCTCTTTGCAGGGTGACACTGTCTGCTTCTCCTTGTAGCCTCAGGCAGGCTGTCACAAATGTGGCAGTAGTAAAGAATCCTATTAAATTACCAGTGCTAATCACCTGTCTGCCCAGCAGGTCCCTTCCAGCCTGGCTCTGGCCCTGTGCTGTCCTCATCCAGCCTTTGCTCAGTGCAGAGCGGGGCTGCAAAGGAGGCTGCTCGGGGCGTTCACTTCAGTGTGGCTTTTAGTCCTCAAAGAATTAGAGGGTTACTTCACCAGCCCCACTAACCTGCAAGGGTAGGTGTAGTCTATTAATTATTTGCTGGAAAACTAACACTCCCTGTGTTTTTTATTGCAGCTGTCTGAGTGCCTGGGACACGGACAATACCAGATTGACCAGACCCCAGCACGATGGTGAGTGTGTGTGTTTGCTGTGCCACCCTGTGCCAGGCCTTTGCTCCCACCACGTACACGTGGGCAGTGGAGCTCAGATAAGGACCCAGCAGGAAGAATGCTGTCACTGTCTGTCCCTTCATGGGGGGGAATTTATCACCTCTCTCTGCTTCCTCATACTAAATAATGACCCACACATACGGGCTTTTCCGTTTGGGGAGTTAATGGAAAACCAGTCAGATATCAGGTAGTTCAAAGAGCAGGAATTTCTCTAGATGAACTTCCTGGGTTTATTCTTTCCAGGTTGAATCCAGTTCCACCCTGCTGCCATGGACAGGGACACCTTCCACTAGAGCAGGTTGCTCCAAGCCCCAGCCTGGCCTTGAACACTTCCAGGGATGGGGGAACACTTCCAGGGATGGGGGAACACTTCCAGAGATGGGGGAACACTTCCAGAGATGGGGGAACACTTCCAGGGATGGGGGAACACTTCCCTGTCACTGTTTCAGAAAGCCCGACCCATGTGAATGTTAAGTGATGTTTTGCTGAGGATTTTCCTGAGAACATGAGAGCTTTGTAAGAGACAGTGTATTCCCCCAGAAATGGCACTGGACAGGAGGCAGGAGGAAGCTATTTGTGAATCTCCATTTTGGGTAAAACACTGCACTTCCTGGTGCGTTTATTTAACAAAATGATGGTCCTTGGCTGCTCTTGGAGAATTCAGAAATAGGGCTTTGATGGGAACCTTTCTTCTATGATTTACATGGAAAACTGCTGGGAAGAAGCTGGATGAACAGAGGTGTTAGGCTGTGTGCCATTCTTTGACTGGAAACTAGATACTCCAGGGGCATCCACATTAAGATATTTTCTTCTGTGTCCCTGTGGCTTATTTCTTATGTGGCTGGGATATCCCTCTAGAACAAACCATTTCTGTTTAGGATGGAACCCTGGTATAAAATCACTCATGTTTGGTGAGTGGACTTTACACTGTCACTGTGTTTGCATCTTTTGAATATTCTTTGTTTCTAGTTCACCTCTGTGTATGTATGACTTTGTGTCTGCCTTTCATAACTCCTCTCCTGTGGGTTTAGGCAACAATCAAGGGAGTCTCGAGCTTCAGTGCTGAGCAAGAGGCACAGGCACTAAGGAAGGCCATGAAGGGACTTGGTAAGTTGCTTTCCCTCCACTGTTAAACCCTCCTTCATGCCCCTGGAGATTGGGAATGTTTTTATGGTGTTTGTTGGAGGGGAAATCCAGCCCTTGGAATCACCCCACTGCCCTGTGAGAGGGCACTGGAAGGAACTGAGTGACTTGAACCTCACTGGAAATCCAAGTCTTGGCCATAGTGAGGCTCTTGTTTTCCCTCCCCTGTGGGGTGGTCCTGCCCTGCTGGGGCTGTGCTGAGGCACTGCTGCCCAGCTGAGAGCCAGCTGGTGTGCTGGGGTGTGAGGGCTGTGTGGGTAATGGCACAGCCTGGACACGGGACTGCTTCTTGAACAAGCAGCTTGACTGGTTTCCATTGGTTTCTTCAGGCACAGATGAAGATGCCATCATTGAGACCTTGACCAAACTGAACGTTTCCCAACGCCAGCAAGTTCTGATCACCTATAAAAGCACTATTGGCAGGGTAGGTGTTCTTCAGAGACCGGTGACTGTGGCTTGAATTGGAAGTTGCAGACATTTTTTGGGTTGTGTCACTGGGGTGAAATGTGAACAACATCCAGTCTCCATGGCAGCGTGATCAGCACAAGCTTTCCTTGGCCAGGTTTATTTTGGTCTTGTTCACTTCTGAGTAACTGTTTATCCAAGGAGGACTGGAGCATGAAGAAAATTGTGAACAAGTTCTTCCTGTTCTCAAAAGCTGTATTTTCTCTCACCTCCTTTCCTCTCTCTCTGTCTTCTAGGATTTGATTGATGACTTGAAGTCTGAGTTGAGTGGGAATTTTGAAAAGGTGATTGTTGGTTTGATGACTCCAACCACCATGTACGACGTGCATGAGCTGAGGAGGGCTCTAAAGGTTTGGAAATCTTCTTTTGTGTTTCTTAAGTTGCGGTCAATTCTGTATGATATGGTATAATTGTACATTTATTATTAATTTCTTATTATTAACTTAAATATAACAAACAGAAAGTCATAGTTGCCCATCCAAACACTTGTCATAGTCTTGGATCTTGTCTTTGCCACCCCCCAGGGAGCAGGAACAGATGAAGGCTGCCTGATTGAAATCCTGGCCTCTCGCACCAACGGGGAGATTCGGCAGATCAACGAGAACTACAAACTCCGTATGTGGAGCACTCTGCAGTCACACTGACTGGGCACTGGGGGTGTGCAGGGGGGTGGAGAGGAAGGAGAAGGGTCTGTCAGCCTCAAGGACTAGAATTTCACCCAGAAATGGAGTGGGTGTAAGTAAAGCAGGGTGGGGTGGTTGGGTCTGTCAGCTGGACATCTGTCCCTGGGTGGATCTTCTGCCAGTTACATCCTGGCTGTGCTTCTTAACGTTGCCCTGTGCCACTCCATATGGAATGCTGTGATGAAAGCCAGGAAGGCCAAGGGTAATCCTGGCTTGTACCAGCCCTGGTGTGGCAGCAGGACCAGGGCAGTGACCATCCCCCTGTGCTGGCACAGCTGAGGCACCTCCAGTCCTGGGGTCAGTTTTGGATTCCTCAGGACAAGGGAGACACTGAGGGGCTGAAGTGTGTCCAGGGAAGGGAACGGAGCTGGGAAGGGGCTGGAGCAGCAGGAGCAGCTGAGGGAGCTGGGGGGGCTCAGCCTGGAGAAAAGGAGGCTCAGGGGGGACCTTCTGGCT